AAGAAAGAAAGAAAGAAAGAAAGAAAGAAAGAAAGAAAGAAAGAAAGTATGGTGTATGGCAATTCCTTGCTATTTTGTGTGACTTAATTTTGCTGAATGTGTACAAAACCAGTATACAATTTCTTGAAAGAAAAAATATTTTAAATGGTGCCTGGCTCAATCTGACCAATGGATAGAAAATGATTTTAAATCCTAGTGTTTTACCTGAAAATCGAATAGCCATGCAAGCACAAATATTGTGCTATAAAGTAGATTTCACAAATGGAAAAGTATTTGTACTGGTGTTATAAGATAGAGGAATATAAAATATTATTGATTCAAAAAGAAGTAATTGTAACTGTCTTAAGATCATGTTTAAACTCCATTCAGGATATTGCTTTGTAAGATGCAAGCAACTGATGAAAAGCATTAAGCAAAACCACTTTGTGACAAACAGTAGTTCAAACACAATATAGCAGACAGTTAGTATCCATATATAGAAGCACATCCACTCTACCATAAGAATATTTATAGAAGAAAATTGAAATCCAATTGTCAACTGTAGACCTTTTTCCTAAACCACTAATGGAGTAGATTTTACAGATCAAGTAACTAGGAGGAAAGATAGAAGCGTTTCCATCCACAATAGCTCTGGTCAAGATCACACTTTACCATAACCTTACTAAAAAATAGAAAACAGAACACAATTGTGTTACCTAGAGTGTTGTTTAATCCCTCCCATTCCATTCTGCAGGTGGGCCTAGATCCGTGATAGCGAACCTATGGCACGGGTGCCAGAAGTGGCATGCAGAGCCATTTCTGCTGGCACGCGAGCCGTCACTCAGAACAGATCCACTGCACATGCGCACACGCCTCCTGCCAGCCAGCTGATTGCCGGGTATCTGCTGTGCATACCAGCTGATTGTCGGGTATCTGCCATATATGCGCAGAAGTGGATGGCATGCACAGGAAGGTCATGCACACATACGCAGAGGCACACATGCATGTGGGGGACGCATGCACATGCACAGGGGGTAGGGGGTCATGCATGTATTGCATTATGGGTGCAGGCACGCATGTGCGCATGTATGCATGCACGCCACAACCAAAAGGTTAGGCATCACTGGCCTAGATCTTAAATGCTCCATTTAAGAATCATCTAATGCTAGTCCTTATGAATTCTAGAAAACCTTAAAAGATGACACCAGATTTAGAAGCATCTACAGACAGAGAGAAATGTGTTTGCTTCCACATCTTAAAGCACAGTCTACAAGTTAATCTCCATGTTTTTCTGAATTTGCTGCTGAGATTCAAATGGATCCCTCCCTTGGTCTTTACATTTAATATTTGAATTTAAATTATGTTTAATGTTTGTTTATATTTAAAAAAAAATATTTGGCATGACTTTACACTGAATCAAGTTTCAGTTCAGTCAATAATCCAAGCAGCTCTTCAGAAGAGATCAAGGTGAATGCTTTGGCTGAAAGGTTAAAAAACCCAGATATAGACATCAGACAAAACTGTGTACAAAAATATCTCTTCTGTATCCTACAACTCCCAGAATCAGTCTTCAGCATCTTCAAGGAGAGATGAGGGAGAAAAAATAGCTTGTTTGAAACCAAGGAGAGCTATTGTCAGTCAGGGTTGAAAATAGGATGAGAAGGACCTATAGTCTGATTTAGGATAAACTGCTTCCGATGTTCCTGAAGAGACTTAGTTGCCAGATGCAAATATTAAACCTACCTGACCTTTCATCTGCCCTGAACAAGCCACAACACTTCAATTTATATCTTGTTCAGCCAAAGCAGACTTTCCTAGGTTCTAGGAAGCCTTTGGCTTGTGATTAACTGACCTTTTCCCTGGATAAAATTGATAAAATATTCACCCAAAAACCCTATTCTCTATTGTTCCATTAATTACGCTTCCCATCTTGATAGATTAAAACAAAAAACAAAAACAAAATGAGGCCACCTGACATTTAGGGCTCTAAATGCAAATTTATACTGAAAAACCTGTCTTCAATGCATCTGATAGGCGAGAAAATAAGCACGTGGTTCCTTTTTCTTGGGTATTAGCAAGGTGAAATATCTGATTTTAAAACCACAGCCTTTGATGGGTGGTTCAAAAATGTGAAAAACAAAGCAATAGAAACAAATTTGCATTGAGCACTACCAACACGGTCTTGGGATTCTTAGATGTTCAGTTTAAATGCACAAGGACTCAAAGCAGCAGAAGACAAATATAATGTGCATTATTAAGTTTTATTTAATAATGTAATGTGTTTCTAAACGGAATAATGAAATCAGCAACACATGTGATAATATTTCAACTGCAGAGAGAAATATATTATCATAGAAATTATTCAGAAGCAGTCATCAAAGTGCCTGCTCAGTAGCAGACCCAGCAGTTGGTTAGAAGAATCATCCAGAGAAGCTTCTTGGATCCCACACAGGCATCCCAGTATAGTGTGTGATATGCAGTTAATATAAATTGCTTCTGTTTGTCTGGGTTTTCCAGTTGCATTGAGAATTTCAGTGTATTTTTAATGACCATATTATTCTAATTGCATGCATATAGGTTTTTATTCCGAGTATGTTCAAAATAAATACTGACTTAAATATCCCATTCCAAATTGGCAGGCGGGAGTGGGTGAGTCCCATGACCTGAGAAACAGCCATTAATAATTTGTTCATTCCTCTAATCATAAATATGTTATCTCCCTAGAAATTCCCTGCTTCAAGGGATTCAGTCCATGAAGAGCTGAGGAAGAACAGTTGTCCTAGATCTTTATATGAGGCCATCAGACTCAACTAGCAGTATGTCTTCAATCCCACTGTGATTGAGAGATTCACTTTGATTCTTTATGACTGGATGAGCTAGACAGTAAAGCAGAAGTGAACAAAAATATTGGGGATATTGCGAAATTCATTGTTTATGAATTCTGGAATAATTTGAATTTCTTCATATTCCCCAAATTGATGTATGGATTTTCTATTAAGTTTCCTTGTGCAATAGTTCATAAATATTCTAGCACAGTTAAACTAAAACCAAAATCCAAGATGTATAACGGTGTCTACTTCAAAAGGCGATGTTAGCTTTAAAAGTTCATACTTGGAGAAAAAGTCTCCAGAAATGAATATTTTAAGGAACTTCAAACTACATATTTACGGCATTTAGCATATTATAATATAAACTGTATTTTCCTTGATTCAGTGCAGAAATGGAACAGAATGAATTTAGCAATCAATACAATTGAAGCAGACTGATCCATCAGTCCCTTGAAAATGCTACTATAGTCTTTAATGTTAAATTGTTTTCCCTGTGGTGCTTTGATTTAAGCTTGCAAATTCCTTAAATCAGAAGCCAGAATCCTGATATATTGAAGATATTTTAAATTATAAGTCTGCAAACTAATTATTGTATTAGTGCAACAAATTTTGCATGAGATTCCTTAATTGGTACGTGCTTCCACTGCTGCTTTGTGAATATTCACAAGTTACTATATGAGTTATAATCTCTATTCCATGTTGCCTCATTTCAAAACTGGAGATAAACAACATCTAACTCATTATTACTAGCCTCTGCCTTTTGTTTTTATCTTTTCAGCCCCAGCATGCCAAATTTCATCCAACGTCAATTTAACAGTGAGATGGGAGCTCTATAAATTTAATAACAAATATTCAGGTCTCTCATTTATGCATTTTTCATAGGCAAACATGGTGCAGCTAATACAAAGAAAAGGCCAGCAACTGCAACAAGTTTTTATTGGAAGGAATCCATTCTGTCCTCAAGAACCAAATCATCAGAGCAGGCTGTGTGATTCAGCTTCAAAAACAATGAAACTAAAGTCGTTTGTTGTCACAATAGTACTTCTCCTTCAAATTTTCACGGTAGGTGGGCAAAAAATTTGTAACAGATCCTTGATGTCTGAATGGAAAACCCAACCAACAGTACATACAGTGAAATGGTCACTGAGCCAAGACATCTGCTCCAGCTTTTTCACAGAATGTTGGCATATTGATTCGTACCATGGAAGCGGTACTTCAGGCAACGTGCCTCTGAGATTACCACAGATTTGTCCTCTGCAGCTTCAGCTGGGGGATCTGCTTTTTGTTTCATCAGAGCCATCTTTTCAGTCTTATGGCATGAACCTGGCAAATGTTTCCTTGGAAGGATTTATTCAATGCCCTCAACCAAGCGATGTCCATCTGCACCAGCTTCTATTTGACCAAGGGTTAAGTGGGATGCATCAAATTGTTCCCAAGTGGCTTGGCGTTGGAACACATTACTTTGCAGAGGTCTCAATACAAGGACCTCTTTTATGTGGTTTTGGGCTTCGATTGAATGTGACAGTGAAGCCACATGCTTGTCAGAAGTATTCAAACTCAACGTTTTGCTCTGGTCATGGCAAATGTTTAAGTCATATCTGGGATGAAGCCTATCATTGCCATTGCAGTCATCCCTATTCTGGACAGTACTGCCAAGAAATTGATAAGTGTTCTAGTAAACCTTGCCACAACCATGGCATCTGCATTAGCAGAAAGAGCCAAAGAGAAGATGTTGAAGATTCTTATGAATGCATCTGCCTCCACTCATTTACAGGTAAGATTATGTGAATTTCTGAAACTTGTAGTGTGCTGCTTCTGGCCATGTGTTTTGAACTTACTTTTCTATTGTGCAGAAGCAAAATGTGTTGTTACTGTTCTGTTGTTGTTTTTTGTACAAATCTCATTGTTGTTCCTATTGCCTTCGTTGCTACCTATGGTTCCCAGCTTGCATACGCCCTTGCAATGTCTAGTGTATGTTGATTACACCATTTGACTTTGTGTAGATCTTAAACAAACTTGGTGTAGATCTTTGAGTAGATCTTTCCAAAGCACCCGAAGGCCAGAGAAGGAATAATGGGTGGAAACTGAACAAGGAAAGATTCAACCTGGAAATAAGGAGAAATTTTCTGACAGTGAGAGCAATCAACTGATGGAACAGAAATTGCCTTCAGAAGTTGTGGGAGCTTCATCACTGGAAGCTTTCAAGAAGAGACTGGACTGCCATCTGTCAGAAATGGTGTAGGGTCTCCTGCTTGGGTGGAGGGATTGGACTAGATCAGTGGCCCCCAACCTTTTTTGTGCCACGGCCCGGTACCGGCATCACAAAATGATCCGCGGCCCGGTACCAGCATCAGCACGCATGACAAGGCAAGGTGAGCTGAGCGGCCGGCCAGCCAGCCGTCCCCCGCTTCTCCCCGCCACCTTTAACTCCTCCTTTGTACCTTTGTCAATGGGCTTCGGGACGGCTTCGGGACGGTCGCTCGGCTCGCCTTGCCTTGGGTGCTGAAAGAATCCTCGCGCCTTAGTTTCATTCGAAGCCGCCCCCCCTTCAATGAAACTAAGGCGCGAGGATTCCTTCAGGACCCAAACGCCGCTTTCCAACTGGAAAAGCTCACCCGGAAGCACTTTCTCATCGAAACAAGATGGCGGTGCCCAGCAAACCGGCGGCCCAGTAGAAAATGTTCCACGGACCGGTACCCATCCAGGGCCTGGTGGTTGGGGACCCCTGGACTAGATGACCTATAAGCAGTGGTGGGATTCAGCCAGTTCGCACCAATTTGGGAGAACCAGTTGTTAACTTTCTGAGCAGTTTGGTGAACTGGTTGTTGGAAAAAATAATTAGGGCAGAGAACCGGTTGTTAAATTATTTGAATCCCACCGCTGCCTATAAGGTCCCTTCCCACTCTGTTAATCTGTTAAAAACAAACAAGCAAACAAACAAAAGACTGGATCAAAATCATGGCATATGAGAACAGGTATTCAGCCCCTTGACCTAAGACATACCTGTGGAGAATGGACATCTCCTGCCACAACCACCATCAACAATGTTCTTCCAACATGAATGAAAACACAGAAAGGCTGTTCTGATTTTGATCACGATACAGAAAGAGTTTATAGTCCTGCCCTCATTCTAGCACACAGCTCTGCCTTTTCTCATTCCAGCTGCTTGTTAAATGGAAATCAGTTAGATGAGAAAGATCTTTTTCAGCTCGGTCCCTACTAGGCTTAAGATCGGAAGCTACCTCTTAAAAAATGCAATACTAGATTGTCTTTAAGAATGAACTGACAATATGTAGTAGACAGCATGGATCCCCTCGACATCTACTTTAAATGCCCAGATCATAAAAATTGCCAGTTTTATCACAAAGGTCAAAAAAAGCATTGAACATATAAAGAATCAAGCACAGCGTGAGCTTTTGAACAGTAGCATTATAGGTAAAGCCCAAACAAACAACATGAAATAATCTGTTTTGATTAAAATGTTAGGATAAATTCTATATTTGTAGCTCACAGGTGTGAGTGAGAGAATAATGGCTCTCATAGTGTTAATTTAAAAAAAAAATGGAAAAAATGCTCAAGTGTGAATAACCGTACAAGCAACAATTCAAATGACAAGCATAATTATATGGTATTTTGTCCCATATGCTGAAAAAGCACAAGCAATTTGTGATTGGTAATTTCCAGTAAGCAGCATGTTTAAGCAGAATTCATCCTGAAACTGTTTTTCCAGGCAGCTGTTAAATCATGTTGAAAAGCAAATATTAGAATATGTCTTTTTATTCAAATATTGGAACATTGATTTTCCCCTGAAATTTGACCATATGCAGCTCATCTTATGTATACGAGTTTAACGAGACTGCCTTGGGGGGAATTGTGACTAGGATTATATCTTCATTTGCACTAAACATTTAGATATAAATATGTAAGAACTATCTCTTTGGTGCAACATATTTAAATCAGCATCCTGCCAACTACAGGTCTTTGGAGCTTCACAAACTACATATTCTATCAAGATCCATTCTTTCTTTTGCCCAGCATTTGGCAATTGGAAGTTCCTTTCACTTGTGTAGTTAGCAGTGAAATCCACCTTCCTTCCTTCCTTCCTTCCTTCCTCCCTCCCTCCCTCACTCCGTCCCTCCCCCTTTTTTTTGCTTTGCATGTTTCCATTCCTGGGACAATAACATGATTCCTCTTCCCACAATGCCCTTGGTGCTATCTGCATTTCCTACACATATGTTTTATGATCACACCTGCCCATTTTGGAACCATAGTGTTAGCATCATATACAATCCATTGCTTCATGCTAATAATATTAAAAGAATAATTTAAACACCATGGAAACAACAGCAATAATATTGCTTTGGATTAATACGCAAGCGAAACATTTATAGTACACTTTATGCATGCTAATTTTAATTCCTGTATTTTCATCTTCCTTCTTTGTTAAAGCTCCATTCTTTTGGAAAGTTTAGATTACACTTTTTTTTCTGTCTTGTTTTATAAAGAAGAAACTGTTCAGAAATATTTGGGCAGTGTCAGCGGCATAGTTGTGGCAACGGTAGCTGTAGCAATGTTTATCCAAATACTTTTAGATGCCGGTGTGATAAAACTGCTACAGGTAAGAAATGAATCTATTGTACACAATGATGTGCCAACTAGGGAATGCATATATTATGCTCCTTTTGAAACACAATTATGTCTTTTCTCTGGGCTGACATTAGCCAGTGAGTTATGAGTCAAGAATGTATGCTTTACAAGTTCCATAGAGGCTTCTTTCTAGTTTACTCTTCCACATGGTCTTCCAGAATGTACATTAAATCAGTTGAAATCCATGTGACTTCAGTTATTCATCAGGCAATAAATTAATTTAATTCCATTGAGTTGTCATTCTAAGGTGACCAATTTTGCATTCACTCCATTTTTTTATTATCTACATATAATGTGTTTTGCTCTATATGTCATATAATAAACCCAGTGTTCTAAGTTCAGCACTTACATACTTTAGTGTCAACAAATAGAAGATAATATTCGTAGCTCAGGATTGAACTATGGCAGGGCTGTCAAACTCTCATCCCACGAGGCAGATACATCACGCATTGGTCATGTCCATGCCCGGTTTTAGCAAAGGGAGAAAAATCATGATACATCACGTGACGCCACCATGACAATACAAGTTTGACACCCCTGAACTATGGGGTCCTTGTTGGTCACCCACAAAAGTGATATTTGAGTTAAAATGTTAATTACTTTTCAAGA